TAGGGCACGTGCGCTCGCCAGACAGACAGAGAGAGACAGAAAGCTAGAAATCACCCCCTAGAGGGGATAGCCACGCTGCAGTCCCTTCTCCTCCATTCTCCTCTCAAGATCTTGGGCACACATGAACACGCGCCCGGCATGAGTTTTAAGCCACCAGGTCCGGGACGCAAACCGCGGTCGACTATGTGGGAGTCCAGCGACATAGCCATTACGCTAACTGCTGGTTCCCACATGGTCTACTTTTTTAAGAAGTTTTTCCCAAAGCCACCAGATTCTGAGTCAGGATTGCCTCACCCAGCTGATGGACATCAGCCATTTGGGTGACTAAAGGGGGTGGCCAGCCAAACAGGATCTTATAAGGGGAATAACCTTGTCTTTGGGGTATACATCAAACTCGGCTAGTGGGAGGACATCCACCCAGGAGCGTCCAGTGTCCTGACAGAGCTTAGCCAGTGTGGATTAGAGGGTATGGTTCATTCGTTCAACTCTCCCAGAACTCTGAGATTGGTAAGCAATGTGAAGCTTCCATTTTATGCCCTAGGCCTTTGTCACTCCCTGTGTAATTTCTGCCATAAAAGCAGGGCCATTGTCTGACCCAGTCTCAAGGGGAAGCCCAAACTGAGGTATGACTTCCCTCAAAAGGGTTCAAGTGACTTCTCTGCTTCTACCCAACCTGAGTAAGTACAAACCAGGACTACCACCACTTCAGAGAAGTCTGCCTCCAGTAATTCCAGGGGGAGTTGTCCCAGTGGCTTGTATTCCAGCTGGCTGAGTTGGCTCCTGGGCACGGTTATTTCTGGCACAGGTCTTGCATCGCATACTCATAGTTGCACACAATGACAGTAGGCAGCTCAAGAAATAGTATTGGCCAGGCACGTTTTCTAGGTTAGTCTTTCCCCAGTGAGTCAACTTGTGGTGCTATTTACCAACAAATACCCCAGGGACTGAGGTATGTATATTCTTTTATGTATCAATCTCCATTATCCATCTTCTTCCAGGGTTGTTCCCCTCTGACTGCCCAGTGATGTTCATTGGAGGTATAAGGTGGGAGGAGGAGGCTTTTGGAAGATTTGTGAGTTGTAACACCCTGGTTACAGCAGTCAGGGTTTGGTTGGCAGTAGCCTTGACTGCCTAGTCTGCTAACTGGTTTCCCAGGGTGATGGGACCCTCTTCCCTCTGGTGTCCTCTGCATGGATGATTGCTACTTCCTTTGGCTCCCAGACTGTTTTTAATAATTGGCAGATTTTTTTTTTTAACTCTTTCCTTCTGCCAAGAGTTTTCTCTGTTGATATAATGTCCCATGGATGTGTAGGGTGGCAAAGGCATATCGTGAGTCGGTGTAGATGTTTACTTTCTTATCAGTCATCAATTTTAGGGCTCAGATTAATACCCAGAGTTCAGCCTGCTTAGTTGACCACCCTTGGGGAAGTGCCCCAGCCTTGATCACTCTGTCCTGAGAGGTAAATACATAACCAGCATATCGAATTCCATCTTTCATGTAGCTGCTGCCATCAGTGAAGAGGGTGAGGTCAGGGGCCTTCCACGGTGTGTCTGCATTCAGGCCCTCATTGAGGGCCTCTTCACAGTTGTGGTCAGGAGGCCCCAGCATGACTGGGAGGAAGCTAGTAGGGTTTAGGGTCTACAGGGTCTGAAGTCTAATTGGGAACTTCCACTCAATAAGCGCTAATAATGGGCCATCCTAGAGCTGGCTAGCCATTTATATTCTCTGGTGTTCATCAGGGCAGTCACCGAATGAGGGACCCGGGCATTGATAACTTGGCCTAAGGTTAACTTGTCTGTCTCTTTAATCAATTTAACAGTGGCAGCAAGGACTCGGAGGCAAGGTAGCCATCCGGATGCCACTGCATCTAATCTTTTAGACAGATAGACAGTAGGTCTCTCCTAAGGTCCAACAGGCTTAGAACTCTTAGTGCTATCTGACTTTTTTCTTATCTGAACAGATTGAATTCTTGAGTGATGTCTGGCTGTCCCAAAGCTGGGGCTTTCCCAAGACTCGACTTGAGATCCTGGAAAGCCTGCTCTTGGAGGGGTCCCGGTTTGATAGGGGCCTCTTCTGGGCCTCTAGTAGCTCATACAGTGGTCTGGCCTTCTCAGCAAAGCCCAGGATCCAAATCCTACAGAATCCTGCTGCTCCCAGGAACTCGCGCAGTTGTCTCCTCGTTGTGGACTGAGGCAGCCCATATATCACCTGTTTATATTTGTGCCTGAGAGCATGGTGTCCTTTAGTTAGATAAATATGAGGACCTGCACCTGAGTATGACAGATCTGGGCCTTCATCATTGAGATCTTGTATTTAGCCTGGGAGAGAAGCTGGAGCAGTGCTTGAGTTCTCTTCCAGCAATTCTCGGGTCACTCTGACAAGCAGGACGTGTCAACATATTGGAGCAGAGTACACCCAGTTTCCTGACCTGGAAAATTCTCTAGGTTGGTAGCAAGTGTTTTCCTGGGGGCGAATATTCACCATTCTTCTCTCGGGGCATTG